ATGTGTTCCACGTGGGATGTATTTAGTTCAAAGTGTCCACAACATTCAGGTTCAGAACTAGGGTACAAGCTAGAGTTGTGGGGAGTGAGAGACTTCACTAGCGACAGAGTGGGGAGCAGAACAGATAGATGTACTGAAATACACTGTTGGGGTGAACAGCTGGCGGATCAGGAGAAGTCTTTGCCATGTGGTATGGGTCAGCTCCCTGGCCGGGCATGGAACTCGTGCTGCAGTGGCTGCAGATACCTGCATAGTGCTGTGCTCTAACTGTTGTGCCACCAGGGAGGGCTCCTTTACCTTTCTCTTTATTCAGGATTCTTCCAGACAATGTTTTCTAGTAACTGCATCCTGTGAACAGTGTCTTCAGTAGCATGCATAAAATTCTTTCATATACACATACATTTCTATAACCAGGTAGCTAGTACCCTTATGTTATACTATTTAAAAGAACCCATGACAAATAATCCCCAAAATTAGTTGCATAGATATTAGTAAACAGTAGGTGGAGAAAAGTATTCCATGGTCAACAGATATATTTGGAAAAACTCAGTTTAAAAAAACCCTTCCGGCCATCCCTGGTGGCGCAGCGGGTTAAAGCACAGCACTAAGAAGCTAAAGCCACTTCCGCATGAGTTCGATTCCTGCCTGCCCTGGAGGTGACCACATGGCATGGCAGACCTCTCCTGACCCACCCGCTGCTCCCCTCAGCAGTGTACTTCGTCGATCTGCCTGTTCTCCCCATTCTGTCTCTGGTGAATCCTCTCGCCGCCTCTGGCCTGTACCCAAGTTCTGTATGCACAAATAAATAAATCTTAAAAAAAAAAAAAACTCTTCCATAATATTGTTTACTCTGATTTCTCAAAGCTTAAATTGCTACTCTACACTAAGATTCCCTGAGATGGTGCCTCCTGATTTGCTTTGTACCTGTGCAAGCGTTGAGCTGTGGTGTGCTTTTGGTACTGATCTGTACTAATGACCACAGATCAGATCCAGGGCTCCTAACTTGTATGCATACGCTATGCCAGATTTCAACACATAGTTGTAGAAATTGAATGATCGAATTAGAAAGAATGAATGTTTGTGTCTTTATGCACCTCCCAAATGCCTTTCCCATTGCTGGGAATTATACCGTAGTCCACACCACATGCCTGTTTCACCCTCCCCTGGCGCCCACTTGTTTAACCCTGAGCTGGTTTGGTAGCTTTTCTATGATTTAGAGCGGCTCTTTCAATTACTTGCTGCCAATTTTGTGACTACCTTCATGAGATTTTTGCCTAACTTTTGGAGCGTTAGCTCTTAGGAAGACAAATGGTCTATTTTTATAATTGGAGATTAATGCAAAATTTCATATAGTTGTGCCAGTCATTCTTCCAGTTTCTTTTTATCATTTACCTTTGAGTTCTATTTGAACATCTGGAACATCTGCAGTTGTATGAAACAGCTCCTCAAAGCATTTCTTTTATAGTTTCTTCACTGGTTTAAACCTGAAAATCCTTTAACAAAGATTTGTCTAGATGCTTCATAAACACTTCTTGGTTTGTTAATATTAACTAGTAACTCTTCTAAAATATATATTAATTTATCTTGTTGCACTTCTTCCTCCTCTCCCCCCCAAAAAAAGACACAACTATGCTCCACAACTCTCGTTGCTGAATAATTTCTCTTCCCAATTTAATATATATTTTGCCTATGCAGTCTTTAGTGATTTTTTATTTAAAAAACAAACATTATTATATCCGTTTCCTACATTAGCAAATTGAAATGAATGGCAATTTATGAGTGTTCAGTTACTTTGCTGAGTTTTGGTCTCAAGACAAACATGTATATTGACCTCACAGTAATGGAAACCTTGACATTTGTCAACTGACATACATTCAATTTGATAGTGATAAAAATTTCCTTCCTTGATGTCATGGAAGAAATCGCTAAGCAGAAGGGAAGACGAGGCTATTAAAAGAAATTTGAAAATTAAGAAAAAGTCTGTTAATCAGTGTCAATAATAAAAGCCTCCACTTTACAAACATTCTCGAGTTTCATTTTCACAATCCACATTACCACCGAGGAAGCTGAGACTCAGAAGTTATCCCTGCTCCAAGTCTGCTGTGTAGGGAGGCAGGACCAGAAGTTTCTCACCAGTGCTGCCTCAATTGAGGTCCTGGGATGTAATTCTTAGATTCCCCAAAGGACTTTCTTATTTAGATAGTCTCTGTAACCTGCAGGGGTGGGATGGGGTGCCCCACTCTGACATTATAAACCCAAAGGAAGGAATGTGCCACTGAAGCTTATGGACACATTTAAATCCTGTTTCCTGTAAGACTGAACTTAGGTTTCTGATGGTGAAGCATTCCTCTCTACTGTGAATAGCTCTCAGGTGATGCCCTCATTGCAAGTCAGAAGATAAGTCCCTATCCGTTCAAGCCCTTTGACTTGACAGAGTCCACCAGCACCAGCTCTTATTTTCTCAAAGATCCTTTCTCTGCAAGTTCACAAGGAAATTTCAGAAGAAATCCTCATTCCTCTGCAACCACTGGCGTTTACAGGCAGGGTTGGTTCATTTTTGAACCATTTGAACCCTCGTGGCCCGATGTCTGGAGCCAGCATCGCTCTGCAGAGACAAGTGGTTGTTTGTTCCCCAGGCAGGACCTGTGCCCTCTAGTTTGCTAACTTTGCAGCTCCCATCCTTTCTCAAGTCCCCCCCAAGAGCCACTTTTGTGGCAGACTCCATTTGGTTTCACAAGACCTTGAGGCGGGACGGAGGGGGCCCCTTGGCATGGCCCTCCAAGCCCCCCACATTAGGAGCAATTTGCAATCTGCCTCGGATACAAGTGAGCCCAGCCCCAAACAGGCTGCTCCTGTTCCCCATTGTCTGCAGCTTGGGCGCCTTTTCCCAGCTGACCTGCCTGTGAGAGGAGAGATGTGAAAAGTTAGAGACAAAAATGGTTTCTACAGAATGAGGGGGAGCTTTCTTGTACAGAAAGGAAGGAAATACCTCTGTGGGATTTTATTTTTCCCCCCCTCTTCATCCCAAAATACAAAGAGTCTCTCTGTCTTTAATGCGAATGTCGGCTTTAAATCTTTTAGGTTTGGATTAACTCCGCAAAAGAAAAAAAAAATCTGACAGGCTTTCAGATATGACACAGAAAAACTTTTTTCCCCTCAATTCATGTTGTTCATTTGTAAAGCCAAAGACTGGTGGACTGAATAGTGGGAGCCAGTTGCTCCTCATTCATCGTTAACATCACAATGGTCAGAATTAGCAGCCAGAGTCTCCTCCACCACTTGCCTTTTCCACCAGCGGACATTTAATACAAGGTGGCAAAGGCAAGAATAAATCTTTCTTCTCTTGCCCTCAAGTTAAAATTGATTCAAATAAAGTCAAGTAAATGAGGTATTTTCAGTTTTGTGACCTAGAATCTTGCCATACCCTCCCCCTTCAGGAGAAAAAAAAATATTGGCTTTTCTTTCTTTTACAGTTGTTACCTTACGAAAAAGCTTCCTTTACTCTAAACAAAACCTGCTGACTTGAGAGACATTTCCTATTACATAGTTATTGTTGATTTTCACTATTGAATGTGTCAGCAAACATATAGTAGATCATGTTTTGCTTATAAAGTAAAGTGACTTTTATGTGAATGTTCTTCATCCTGTTGGTGTCGGGAATATGGGTGCTATTCTCTTGAATCCACGTGGAAACATTTATTTTCTAAAATTTGTTGTTATAGCACATTTTTATTTTAAATGTGTTCAGAGCTATTTAATCCTAGACAGGGGAAAATCTTTGCTTCCTTGAAACAACAATCTATTTCAATACACTCCGTGTTAGCATAGAAAAAATTTTAAGCAGTGCTTCCTGGCCTCCAGTTGAGAGTCAAATGAATAGGTAACCTGAAACATAATATTAAAATTAGTAATATTTATATTTGATAAGGATTGATTGATTGGGGCTGAACGGTTTATGTGTGATTGTGAAACTGTAGAAATTAAGCTCATAATTTTTAATTCCTGAAATACCTGTGATTTTAAAAAGGTGGGATTCTATATTTCTGAACAATATACACTGTTAGTTGGCTACATTTTAATGGAGTTTATAGAGTTAAATAGGTACTGTAAATATACTTTTGATAAATAAGATCAAAAGAAATGGAACAAAAAAATGTTTTTGATTTAATTGCACAGCACTACTTTTAACCTCTGTGCAATCTAATTATATTACAAAGGCATATTTTTACTATAATTGCAAATAGCTAATGGAATTTATTGATTTTTAATCTTTGCAGTCCAAAAGTTCTGGTAACGCTGTTTGCCATTTAATATGAGAGAATTGATTAAAGTTATTTTTCAATACACTTTTAATTGGGTTTTAAATATTAGATATATGGCTTGATCTTAATGATAACAGCATACCACCAGAGCAGGTTATTTTGAACAAAATTCGTCATTATTAATATTATCAACCAAAAGTAATGAAATTGTTTTCATAGATACCTTAATTTGATTATGCAGTATTATGGCACATTTGAGTGATTTTTAATATGTATTATTTTTAAAAGTAAAGTTAATTTCCATTTACCAGAAATTGTATGTTCAGTTTCTAGATGAGATTTATTTTGCATGTTGTACTATAGTAGAATTTAATCTAGAGTATATTTGAACTTGCTCTGAAAAACTGATTTTAATTTTCTAAGTTATAAAAAGGTCAAAATGTGTTATTCAGTGTATGGACCACAACAACAGAAATGTTCCACAAAAACAAAGATTTGGCACACATAAAACTTTGCTACACGAGCTACTTGGGGGGAAATAATAGGTACAGTAAAAGGGTACTTTAACACAGCTGTCTTTTAATTCCAGATATTTCCCAAGGTTGAATCCAGAGTTCGAATATACCCTCTTGCCAAATGAGATTATTAGAATTATTTTACTTCCGATCATATGAGAATTGAACGCAAATAATACAGTTCTTGGTTTTTAAACTATTATTGTTTCTGATGCTTTCGCAGGCAGCCATGTTGTTTAGCTCCGGAGTCTTTTGGACGGGCCTGTTATTTATCCCTGTGGCGTCCTTACTCCTTGATGTGGCTCACAAGGTGTAAGTATAATTTTCAACTTTGTACATAAAAATATAGGTGCTTATTAATCTTCCATTTTTTCCAGCTGCAACATCAATTCAAGAATGTAGAGTTTGCAAAGTAGGAATTAGCAATATTCATACATGAATAAATACAAAAGAAAGGAGTAACTGAGGAACTAGAATACTGAATTAGTTTCAAGGAAAAAGACTGAATAAGAGTGAAAGCAGGTAGTTTTGGTTAACATTTGAGAGTACATTTTTGGAAATCAGCTGGAAAAAAACTATTGAAAGAGGAAGAAAATAAGTTTTCCAAAGTGTGTATGTATAGTGAGCTATAGTTATTAAAGGAATTTTTTTCTTGCTTTCTAAACATGTATAAAATATAAAATGGAAAAAAGCTTTATTAAATTTTCACAAAATTATAAGTTTTTAAAATAAGTTGTATACCCAGAAAAATTATTTAAATGTAATTATATGATGCTTATTTAATGACTATGAAAATTTTAATATTATGACCCTTAACTTTATTTTTTATTATTACTTCTACAACTCTATTAATGGCCAACATTACTATAATCTTTTAGATCCTATCAAAAAACTTGCTGTTTTGAACAATGAGCCATTGTTAGTTACTATTGTACTTATCAACAACATGATTATATATCAATAATATAAAGTCTTAAGTCTTCACATGGATTTTTCCATGTAAACCCTTTTGTTTATTTTTGACAGTATTAAGAGGACAGCTTTTAAAACACTAGTAGATGAAGTTCAGGAGCTGGAGGCAAAATCTGAAGACCCAGGAGCAGTTGTGCTTGGTAAAAGGTAAAATATACAGTTAATACGTTTTTTGCCCAAATAAATATTAAATTTATCCTTTATCAGTAGTGGGACATAAGTAGTAAACCTGGTACTTATCAGTTAACATGGAGCTAGTAGTGGACAGATTATAGAATCCAACAGTATGAATTCAGATCAAACCCTTTATTCACTAAGCTTTTGTGCCCTAGTCAAGTTACTGAATACTTGTGACTCTCAGTTTCTCCGTACATAAAATGGGAATGATAATGGCTACCTCAGGACTGGCTGTGGGAATTGATTAAATGCTGTAGTTAAAACAGGAAGCTTGATGCTTGGTGCTTACTGAGCATTGATTAAATGGAAGTTGCAAATACTAATTTGTTAATAAGCTGAGAAGGAGAAGAGAGACCTTTAGCTTGAGACTGTATTCATGACAAAATAGTATAAAATGAAAGCCAGAGCTTGACATGGGGCAAGCCTCCCTGTAATTACATCTTGGGTTCAGAATGTTATTGGAGCTGACCCATGTGTATATTATACATGAAGTAAATTATGACTTCCAAGTTCTCTTCACCACCACCCTCTAAAAACCGGCAAGCTAATTGAATTTACGAAATCCATAAAACATTATGAAAATACAGTTTAATTATTTGAAACTAGTCTGTAATAAAACACAACTGCGAAGATAATACCAGGAATTTGCTTTTGGTTTTGTTCTCTCTCTTTCATCACACTCAAATGAGCTAAAGCTTTATCTAAACCATAGGAAGCATTTTGCCCCAGTGGATGTCATCTTAATCATGATTCACTGCTGTTGCTCTGCTTGACCCAATGAAGTGTCAGGCTGGGAAGTCAAGCTGAGACTTCTGGCTTCCAGACCTCACTCATTCTCATCAGCCCGAAGGAACATATCACACACCAGTCTGTGCCTCCCTTTTCAAAATAACAGCCCTGGCATTTGTTGGAATTACAACATGTTAAGTGCTGCATTTACCACTTCCTAGATACTTCTATCTCCTTGAGTCTCTGCGACAACCCCAATCAAATTCATTATCCCCACTCTTTTCCAACAAGGAGACTAGGGCTTAGACTGAGTTCTTAAAGTCAGAAGAGACAGAACTTGGGCCTGAGCCATGTCAGTTGATTCCAGAGTTTCTGCTCCTAAGCATTCCCTATTCTGCCCCTTTTTGCTACTTTTTCAGAACATAGTTTAGTAGCAAAAACCGGTGACTACTGAGCAAAGTCCTTAACCTCTGTTGACCAGTGTCCCTATGTGCATGAGAGTGATAATAGCTATTTTTAGGATTACCAATATTCTCCTCCTTCTTCCACATAATACTTCATCTCTGACTCTTCATCTAAAAGTCAACATCTAGTTCATTGCCTGACTTAAGTCACCCCTCAGGGAATGTTTTCTTTCTACCTGCAAAAAGATACAGTAGGAATTCCTAGCTCATAAAAAGAAAAGCCACTGATAATACTGTCATTATTCTTAGGAGTAAACTTCTCATGTTTGTAAGCATATTAGCAAAACTAACATCAGGCCCCTCCATGTGATTTTTAGTTTGCCTGATTGTGGTATGTCAGTGACTTTGACAATTCATCAGTAAGACAGATGGCTCAATGTGATGGACTCTAGATCCTAAAAATTCAATGAGACTGCAGTGTATATAAACCCTTTTAAATAAAATTGCACACAGCCCAAAAAAAATGAAGTGAATTCCACCATGAGTGATCACCAGTATCTCTATATATAATGCATCAGATAAATTGATGGCTTTCTGCCTGCCTCATTTGCCTAAAGTACCTACACAGCTTTTCTCCAGAACACAGGAATGAGTTATCTACTAGGTGAGTACTACAGACAGACTCCCCCGGTACTGAATATATTCCATGTTGCCATGGCAGCCCCTCAGGAATCAGAAGAATGGTGATGGCCACTGTGACCACAGTGCTCTCCTCCAGGATGGCTGGGAGTGGAGGGGGAGGATCTGGGAATGGAGAAAAAGAGCAACTAACTAGAAAAGCCTTCATGCTAAACTAAGTATACCCAAAGCAGTTAAGGACTTATCAGATAGATTTTACTACCAGGATTATTTTAGAAATTTTGGGAAATGGGATTGATGTCAGGTTTCTTTAAGTTAGCTAATTTTATTTACATTTTAAAAAAAAAATGAATTGTTACTTATCCAGGATTTGGTATCCTTTGAAAGGCTAGACAACCCAGTTCTCAGCTTTCCAAACCCAATTCAGAAGCAATGCCCTCATTTTCCCAGATGAAATTCATTTCTTCTCTACTATCTCTAGATTTGTTTATATGATGTTTTATTTATTTCATTTTAGTATACATATACATACATATATACATACATACATACATACATACACACATACATACATACACATATATATATACATATATATATATATATACACATATACACACACACCTTTTGCTTGTTTTGTTTCCCCTACTAGATTGCTCTCTTTGAAGGAGAGGCCTCTCTTTGTCATAACCACAACTCAATACCTTACACAGTTCAGAAATGAATCAATGGGTGGGTGGCTGAGTGCATTGTTGAGAAGCAGGTGGTGAATAAATGGTTGATCTGTGGGTAGCAAATTAAAATATGTTACAAACATAAAATTATATAGGTCATACCTCCTAAGCTAGATGATGTCCAAGAAAGTGATTATTTATTTTGTTGTCATAGAATGATGCAATTCTTGAAAATGGGTGGGTCATCCCTATTTCCTTTCATCTTCACCGAGTACTACCATGAAGACGAGCTTGCACATAAAGTGAAGTTGTATCAGAGGTGTATCTGAACTGTAAGCATTGTTTCCAGATTCCCATTTGTAATAATTTTATTTCTCACCTTTATTCAAGGTGAAAGATTAAAACGTCCTTATTAGTCTTTTTTCATAGAAGTATAGCGCATACCATATTGCAAAGCAAATTAAATGCATCCCAGTTTTATACTGAAATTATTTCAGGAAAACTGGGTTTCATCCTCTAAGTTTATTGCTTTTGAACCACGAGTTAAGGTAGAAATCAACTTAAACCTTAAATGTTAGGAGAATAAACCCAAGCCTTACTCCTGATCACTGTGAGCTATGGCTTATTAATTTTGGTTAAGAAAACAGCTTAAAAGCTATGAAAACCTTGCTCTTTGCTGGAACATTTATGCAGACATGCTCCAACACTAAGGAGCAGAGGCATCTACAGTTCCAAAATCCAAATAACTTTGAAATACAATTTTCTTTCCATAGCTTTATAGCAAACATTTCCTGGAAAAGCCTAAACTATTTGTTCTATAAATATAAGGGAATTAATCATGTTTATTTTTTCTATAACATAAATATTTATACATTTTATAGCAGAAATATTCATTTTTTTGGAATATGGGCCCCCCAGATCCCATTTGGGAGTATTGCATCTATAAGTTGTACATAACACAGTACCTTTTCTTAGAAAAAAATGTTAATTCAGAAATCCAGTGACTTGTAGATGCTGAGCTCACTAGAGACAAGGTAGTTCTTCCTGGCTCTCTTTCATGTGTGTGAAGCCATCCTTATACACAGACAAGTGTGATAATGACACTCAGCTGTGGCACATCAGCTGTGTTAACGCAGGATCTGCTGGCCAGTCCTCATTAATTTGTCCATTAGCATTGCTTGATCCATAATCTTAGCTTTAAAAAGAAGCATAGGGAAGTATGCATGCCAGATAGATTGTCATGTGACAGTGATGGTAGCCTCTCCCAGCCATGCTCTGTAGTAGTCCTCTTAATGAAAAGTAATTTTAACATTTCTCTAGAACGCATAGAAAAGAACTCTTCTTAGAGTTCACACTGGGCTTATATCCACTTACATCTGTAACCCTGATGAGGGTGTAGGATAGCACATATGTGCCAATCGTTCTCCCCCACCCACCTGCTCTCACCACTGTGATAATAATTCCTTCCAATATTTGTAAAGAAAAGTAACAGAACAATGGAATAGTATCTCTTCCCTAGAGAGAGTTAGACCTGTTACATCCACTGTTTATATCCTGCCAGCACTATCGAATGTAGACAGCTGTCCTCATTATACACTGAAACATTCATGAGTGGATTATTATTTACTTTCTGGAGATCCATTGTAGTAAGTCAGCCAAATCAGCATGGTGACACAATGTAAAAATACAAATTTACCATTCCTCAAAGATGACTCAAAATGCCTCAGATCAACCCATTCCAACATAGTAAATGTTTTTTTACCTATTCTGTCTTTAGTGTTTCTAAGTGAAATATTATTTTAAGACATGGTACATATTTACCTCACCCCTACCAAGTATTTTAAGTTTCAGTACTTTAATGGGCTTGAAAGTAATATAATTTTCAAATTTATCAATAGTAATTGTGAAATTGCATTAAACAAAATCAGAATTTGTATAAGTTGGTTTGTAAATGAAAGACCATAGATTTTAGTAAAAATTCTAATAATTATGAGTAAGCTGTGGCTTTGTAAGAATTTTATAGTCTCCTTTCCTCCCACTATGTTAATCTGGCCTACAAAAATTAAGTGGTGAACATATCAGCGTTAACAGGGTAGCAGCATATTTTATAATGTGACATGAAAGTAGTATCAGGAGCTATAAGCATTGATGGTGCAGAACTTCATACATATGAGGGCCTCCCTGGTGACGCAGAGCACAGCACTATGAAGCTGTCGCCCCCACTGCAGCACAAGTTTGAACCCCTGCCAGGGGGTGACCCACACAGCACAGCAGACCTCTCCTGACCCATCTGTTGCTCCCCTCAGCAGTGTATTTCAGTCAGTCTGTCTGTTCTGCGCCTCACTCTGTCTCTGGTGAATCCTCTCACCCCTGCACCTCTGGCCTGTACCCTAGTTCTATATGTATAAATAAATCTTTAAAAAAAAAAAAAGAATTGCTTGCATTTGAAATGGTAATTCCCTAAAAGTAAAATAAGACTAAAGAAATAAGCTCATTATCACATGAGTTACATTTTTTCATGTACAAGGGACTCTGCTCTTTAAGGACTAGAGCTAGAGGTGCAATGTAGCTAAGCCCAAAAAAGCTAATGTTGAATGTAATCACAGCATCAGAAATGGTTCCCACAAAGTATCTTTTGTTTTGTGATATCCCTGTTCAATTTATTTTTTTTAATAGTAAATTCCTTGGGATCTGGGTAGCAGTGAGGGGGGGAGGAACTGGCACACACAAGGGTTTCCTGTGCCCAGAGCTTGCAGCTCTCTGAATCCTCAGCCTGAGTGTTAGGAACAGCCCTCCTGCTGCAGATGAAATGAAAGATTTGCCTAAAGAATAAGTAACAGACTCAGAATTAAAGGGAAATAGCTGACCTGGAAGCCCATACTCTTTAGCAGTGCATTCCTTTTCCAAGAAAAGCAACTTTCTTGTTGCTTTGTGTGTTGTTTTTTTTTTTTTAATGCTGGACATTAACTTGATGTGATATAGTTAAGTGAAAGCATAGCCTTTTATGAACCCTTATAAAACAAAATTACATTATCTTACATATTTCATTTGACATCTTATGAAAGATAAAATTCTCATATTTAACATTTTGAAGTTTCATATTAAAGTATTATGCATTTCAGTGGGCCAGCCTGGGACCTCCTGTTGGCTTGATAGTCTCAACTATCAAGCTATAGTCAGCCACTGAGGTAGGAGTTTAGTTTGACCACTGGTGTGAAAGCTATCCCACGTCCCACATGGCACAGCAGACCTCTCCCGTCTCCCCCGTTGCCCCCCTCAGCAGTGTATTACAGTAGATCCGCCTGTTCTGTTCCCCATTCTCTCATCCCTCACACCTCTGGCCTACACACCAGTTCTTGTATGCATAAATATATAAAAAATAAATCTTAAAAATAAAAAGGCTGGAAGCTGCATAGTGGTACCTTACTATCCTCTCATCCCTGTAATCTTTCAATTTTAAATACCAGAGACTTCCCAGCATCCCATCCCCAAGGTTCTGCTAGCAACAGCAGACCACCTGCTGTTAAAGCTGCTGAGTTCCTCAAAGCAGTTATATATTTAGAGTCCCTCAGGGTCCTGGGATCTGTAATATTAGATCATTGTAAGAGTAACTCTGAAAAAAGTTATTCTCATTCTCCCTGTTTATTTCAGTAACAAAAACAAGTTTTACAGCTTTTTGCAGAACCACTGGTTTTAGATTAATTAACTTTCTTGTCTTAATGTAGCTAATTCCCATTGACAATAAAGTATGTCTACTAAGTGCCAGTTAACACCCCAGACTTTAAAAATGAGTGGAAGATTCCTACAAGTGTCAACATTTCTAAATATTTTACTTCAGCAACAGCCTAAATGTTTGTGCAGTTGTGCAGTTGCAATGAGTTCATTTTACAGAGGATCCTTTTTTGTAGATGATAAAAAATTGCTCCATTTTAAGAGTTTAAAAATTTGGCAAAATATGGAATTCTGACATACAGCAATTGAACTAAATCTTTTGCAGTGGAAAAAAATGCAAGATGGAAATTTTTCAACTGAGTCAGTTCCAATGATTAAAATAAGATTACATAAAAATTTGTTGTAGTACTTGTGGGTTAGTTATTCATTTTTTATTCATATTATGTTCTTTGATAGTGAAGTTTTACAAGTCAACCAGTGAAGAAATGGTGTGACTTGATGGATTGATGATGTTTAAAAGTTCATTCCAGAATTATTATTCAGATTCATATACTTGTCAAATATTTGAATTCCCAGTATGTGTGACAGTGTCTGTGTGCAGTAAGAAAAAAAAATGCTTTATTTCTTGTAGTATGCTTTAGAAGTTACATAATTATCCAAGAGATATTTTGTGTGAGAATTTATATCACCATTAGTCAGAGAGGTCCCAAATTAGGTACACCTTAAATATCCTTCTGCAGAATAGAATGCCTGCATCACAATAAAAAAAAGAATGAGCTGTTGATATGGGGTGAACCTTTAAGAGCACTGTTGACTGAAGGAACCCACAACAAAAGAAATATAATTTATGTGTTTGGTTCCATTTTTAAAAAAAGTTTAAAGTGAGGCAAAGTGGGTCCATTAGGAGGCTAAAAATAATGGCTGTCGTTAGCAGCTGGTATTAACCTAGAGAGGGCACTAGAGAACCTCCATGCTTCTAAAGACATCCTGGCTAGACTTTCTAGACTCTGGCATGATTATATGGGTAATTAAAAGTTTGGGGGAGGACCTAAATTATTTCAATATATAACAAGGAAAAGTCTGATGGTTCTTTGTTCCAATGTGGCTAAAGAGATTGAATTTGGTTATAGCCTAACGATTTAGTATGAAAGTCAGGGAGAATTTGAGAACTAGAAAGAACCTAAGATATCTTCTTTTTAAAATTTTTTTATTTTAATTATTGGGGTTACTTTTTGCTCTTCCATATGTGCATATCCTCCATTCATCCTCCACCAAATACCTGTGCATGTCTGAGAGATCGTCTTAATCTCATGTTTCTAAGAGTGCAATTAACAATTAAGTGATAATAGTAGTTTTAGATCTCTTTATAATTTTTATTCATATTTAATTGATGGGGGCAGAAGCACATCGTCTGGCTTTACTAGGAAACCTGTATTTTTCACTCCAACTCAGTTTTAGTGTTTATCTATACAGTGCAGTTGTATATTATGAAGTTAAGAGAACGGACTTGAGCTGAACATTCAGGGTTTGCTGTTAACTGGTGATATCCTTCCTGACAAGTTACTTAAATTCTCTATGCCCCGCCTTCTTTATCTTGAAAATGAAACTTATAGTAGTGAATTTACATGTATAGCACTTACCATCTAATAGAACAAATCCTGATGCATGTTAATAGTACAATGTTATCTGTCATCATCAAATAATAGTACTACTAGCATAGTAGAATAAAAGCACCATTAGCTTAAAAAAAGAACTTACATAATTAATTACATGGATTTGTGTATGTGAAATTATGTTAAAAGTTGTATTGAACAATATTTCTCCTTTTTAGTTTACCTTACATAATTATTTTACATAATTATTAGGTTTTTTTTTATTTTAAAATGTTATTAAGGAGCATACTTTGTAACATACCAGAGTAGTAATGGAATTTTTTTAATTGAAAAGTCTACAAAATATCTTTCTTGTGTTATTTTTAAGATTTCTTTGAATAACTAAAATAATATTTTATATCCAAAATGTGCACAAAATACAAAAAAGATACAATATTAATTTTTGTCAAAAAGCATCATACTTAGCTGATTGAAAAAGATACCTTCACCCCCATGTTTATTGCTGCTTTATTTACAATTGGAAAAACATGGAAACAGCCCAAATGCCCAAAAGTAGATGACTGGATTAAAAAGATGTGGTACATATATACAATGGAATATTACTCAGCAACCAAAAAAGAGAAACACATGTCTTTTGCAGCAATGTGGATGGAGCTGGAAAAGATCATGCTTAGTAAGATAAGCCAGAAAGAGAAAGAAAAATGCCAGATGGTTTCACTCATAGCAGGAGTATAATGGACCAGGCGAGAAAATAACAAAAATAATGAACAACCATATACCAGAGACATTTTGCAGGGGTGGAGTGGGGAATGGGATCAAAAATGGGGGGGTGAGGAGGGAAGTGCACGGGATTATGGTGATGGCACACGGGTGACTTGGTGATGGGAAACCTGCGGGGATTACAATTAAGATGGAAAAAAAATGTACAAAATGATGTAAAAATAAACTTATAAATTGGGAAAAAAAAGCATCATACTTAGAATACATGCAGTAAGTCAACAAAGAAATTAGAATTTAATAGGACTATTGGAAAATTTTGTATTGTTTTATTAACTACATCATACAATTATGTCCAATAATTCATCTTTTGATGAATTATTGAAGCCAAAGCTATCCTCACAGTGGGAGAAGAGTTCTTCAAAAATATGTAAAAAAAAAAATGAAAAACAATGAACATCTATATACCAGAGACATTTTACGAGGGTGGAGAGGGGAATGGGATTGAAAATGGAGTAGGAAAGGTTCACAGGACTATGGTGATGGCACAAGGGTGAATTGGTGGTGGGAAGTCCATGGGGATTACAGCTGAGATGAAAAAATGAACAAAATGATGATGTAAAAATAAATTAACCAAAAGAAAAGAAAAATATATATATAAAATACTTGAAATCTAATTTACCATCTCATAAGATGGAGTAAAGAGAATCACTAGGCTACTGACTTTTCAAGCAATGTTTATTTAAATCTGTCACTCTTTGGTGGACCTCTGGGCACACCGGGGTCTCCCCAAATCCATATATATGTATCTACCCTGCAGCCTGACAGAGAGAGCTCAGCTACTCAAGAACGTCTTCAAGAAGAACCATGTGAACTTGTACCGATCTGAGTCACTGCAACAGAACCTGCTCCGTAAGTATTTGGAGTCTTAGTTTTAGATAAATTTTCGGCCACAGCTCCATAGCATCTGTGAGATCAGTGTTTTGACTGGAAGAATATTGGCTGTTTAGAATGGACACCCAAAACAAGCTTTGCTTATTTGAAACAAACAATGCACATAACAAATGTTTAGTGAATCCTCTGACCACAGCATCTCACTTTTAGTAGAGAAGATGGAGCAATGCAAAATCTTGCTGTTTCACTTAAAGAAAAACAATTATTATTTCCATATGCCCCTTGTTTCTTTAAATTTTGAAAAGAACAAGTAAAATAAATCTTGACTCTTAAAAGCTGCCTCTATCTTGTTATCTTTTCACTTGAATAACTTTGCAAAAACTTTTCAACTTTCATACAGCACAGTGAAACATATATTCGCCCCTTCAAAAATATTTATGAATATTTAGAGTTGGAAGAAGTTATTAGGTATCCCCCCTCTTAACATTTCAAGGATCTAAAAAATATATATAAAACCCTGTAGTAAATGTAATTGCGTTAGGAATATATCTTTTGTTTCATGTTGTTCCCACATATAATTTATCTTCACTTATATATACTCAGGTTTGATGCTCTGGCTCTTTATACTTCAAGAGACCTTTTCTAGAGATGTGATTCTCTTGTTTCTTAACTCCATGCCCACTCCAACCATGTTGGTGCACACATGAGCTTATTTATAGGTGACGAGAGCCAAAGTGAATGTTATCTGAGAGAAGAGACCACTTTTCCACCATCTGCAGTTACATGTGTATCCTCCCCAATTTTATTCTTACCTCTCAACAACCTGAACTCTGCGGAAATGCATGTGCCCATTGACCTACAAGCCCCCCCTCCAGTAATAGAAATGAGATGGTTTGGATTGAGAAACCCACCAGAAAATTGAGAGCAATAGACGCACCTGCCCATTCCTTCACCTCAGGAGCTGTAGACATCCCATATTCACCCCACTCTTCATTTTGCAATTGAGTCTGTACCTTTTCCAGAAATCAAAATGAGTGTCTTCATGCCCTGGAAGGTAGGAAGGAGCATTTGTTCCTCGAGTTAGAAAATAAGTGCCACCAAAAGAGCAGAGATTTCCAGGGACTTTGTGGTGAGAATGTCTATGTTTTCTTTAACTTACAGATGGCTATGCCTTCTCTCAAGATGAAAATGGCATTGTTTCACAGTCAGAAGTGATCAGAGCCTATGATACCACAAAGCAGAGACCCAGTGAGTGGTGATGGGGAGAAGCTGCCAGGCAGGCTCTGCTAAGTCTCTAAGGATCACTCCCAGGTATTCCGGGAATCTGCCAACCATTTCCAGCCTGGTGCAAGGAGGAAAAGTGGATCCGAGCTCATCGAGTTGACTGATATTCAGATTCGTGTGTATTATAGACATAAGCACTGTGCAGCGATACTGTAATACCATCTCTCTCCAGTTTTTCAGAGTATCTGCTAAGTCTTTATAAACAGAAACTGAAAATACTTCCGTAAATTGAGACTAGGTCAGTATTCTTATGCCATCACTCTGAAAATGTAATGATCGATGTATTGGGTAGACCACAGAAGATGATTCAAAAACTCTAAAATGGTAACAGGGGAAGGGACTCTTGATATCCAGAATTAGATTTCAGGATATGCTGAAAAGAAACCAGCATTCTTAAGAAACTGACTCACCTTACTGAGCAAAATTTCTAAGCAAGACATTACTATTGTTTGTGTCAAAAATTGTCTTGATAAATGTTTGCCAAAGAAGTTCAATATATGTATTTCTCTTCAGTAGTCATTTGCCCAGAAATTTAAAAGAAAGTTTACTTCCAGTTCTGCTGTAAGATCTGCATGCTCGACTTTTCAAATGTAAGAGTGGTTTGCAAAAATGAGTATTTCACGGCATTTGCTACTAAAATCTGTGATGTTGCACCTTTGGCCTTACAACGCTTCTTTCTTGTTTGTCTTGTTTGTTAAAGTGAGAGAGCACATATGGTGATGTGAATTTGTTATTATGATACTGATTTTTAAAACTGTATTTGTGTCTCAGTCATTTCTGATGAGGTTTCATGCCATTTAGACTTTTCTAAAAATTTGGATTCTACTGTAGATTGAGTGATATCATTGTATCTTAGAGATTCCTATCAAGAAAAATATGTTTAAGTATTTTTGTGGGATTTCCAATGCTTCTGTGGAGATGTTGGGACTACCGTGGCAGATAAGTGCATGGGCTTTTGTAATGTATGTGGGCTCCGCTTCTGTACAATGTCTTGGTTCTTCCCAGTTGTCTCCCCACAGATGCCTGCTGCATTATCTAATACACCCCATGTTAAGGTGACTGCCCCCACACCTAAGACTGATAATTACTTCACAGTTCACTTGTCAAGCAGCTCCTGAATTTAGTCACACGCTGCTAATTGGGACAAATAAGTAGTATATTTTCCCCATTTTAAAAACACATATTTACTCAAGCCTATAACTCTACAAGGAACACTTTTCATCACAAGTAGGTTTCACTGATGTTTTAATATGTATGTTCAGTTTATTTTCTGCATTTCCAAGACATCTGAAGATGCCTATTTTGCTACTGACAAAAAAATGGTGAAGGGGCTGTTGAAAAACCACAGCTAGTTTTCTATACTATTTTTAAAATAATGCTTTCATTTAAAAAAGGAATTCTAGTTTCAGATGCACTTCAGAGACTGAAGCAAACTTTTTGCCTTTTATTCAAAAGCCTGTTTGCCTTTAAGTGGACTTACCAGCAAAATTGGTAAAACTTCCTCTTTTAAAAAATAGTAAGTCAACTAAAATTGAGGAGATGATTTTTCAGGCCATTCATTGAGTTTAATAATTTCACGTTCTTTTCATCCCTTTTCTCAGTCTATCAACAGATTTAAAATTAGGCAAGTATCATTTATGGGTATGTTTACAAGCATGCCTCCCCAATTTTCTACAAATAAGAGAGGTTCCAACACATTTAAATAATGCTAACTAAAGAGGCAAGGAGTTGGGTGTTTTACTTCTCTGACCTTCCCACTTGGGGTTTAGATTAAGAGAATCATGAATCAAAACATCTAGAAAAACCACAGGTGTAAGAGTCAAAGTTATCTTCAAACTTTGAAATACCAAATGGATATTCAGAGCATGTTTTCCTGCATCTCCATGATGATAGTTGGGGTCAATCTCTCCAAAAATAACAAAAAAAGAATGAGGTACATCCCTCCCTCCAGAGAAACCCTTTGTAGGTGCTTGTATTTCCCCCTTGCTTCATCAATGGCATCCTTTTCCAAAATTTTAATATCAAATTGTTATGACTGTCATAGGTATGAGTATTCTGACTTATGAAAAATAAAAGTCTATTTCTTGAAACCTGGATTGTTTCTGTGGAACTCTTAAATGTGAGTAGAAACTCCTAGAGTAATTTAATGTATTTGACCAAAATAGGACTGATTTTTTGCCTTTTTGTCCCATGGTCTTATTTTTGAATTATCAGCAGTAAGCCAATCTCTGTACTTCTTGGGTGGGAGTTAGGGGTAGCAACAGAGAATGGCTTCCTTGGTAACACTGAAAATTAACATTGCAATTGCAGTGACTTTATAGTGTTAAATTAGAGAAAGCTTGTGATTTTTCCTAAACCCTCCTCAAGGGGGGGGGGGGGAAGTAACATGGTTTTACTAGAAATAAAATAAACAGTCAAAGTGACTTTTAACATATTTTCTGAAATAAAGGACACATTACTCTTCGACTAAAAAGTCACTTGTAGGGACCCTGGTAAATGTGTCCTTGCTTTGCAATGTTTACAATTCAGAAAATGCTCCAAAGCATTTCTCAGTGAAAAGCTGAGAATTGCTTCTCTAATGTTGACTAGTACGCAGTGATATTGAGCATGAACTTTCTAGGTGTTTTACATATGTTTATAAAAATATGGTGACTCCTTCCCAGAAAGATGCTCTATGGTAGAAGTTATTAGCAGAAAATGGTGTTTCTCAGGAACATAGTAAATTTTGACTGATCGATGTGCTGTGCACTTCTCCTCCCTCCTATTTTATGTCTAATGGGAACCTGCATCAGCAGGTTTGCAAAGTTAATAGACAACTTTCTTTAGTCAAGACAGGTAAGCATCTAGCTGCTCATTAATATTAGCCATTCATATGAATTGTATGATCAGTACCTAGAATCAGTGATTCCTTTTAATTTTCAGGGGAAAATGAATTCAAGAAATCAATGTTAAATTTTTATCTTAATTTCACAGTTCAGCATTCTAAATAACCATGTGAAAGTCACATAATTTGCTCTGCCTTTTTACACTGTGTATAACTTATAACCTGTAGCTGAAATATGCTTTCAAGAAATGAACAGTAGTCTGAAAGTAATAGATTGAATATTTATAGTTTTTAAATTATTGATACCAATGTCATAGTTATTATAAGGTTAAATAACCATTTGTTTTTATTTTTGTACGGTTGCCTCATGTTAGTTCCTGGTTTTAAAACTTATTTCATCAAATAAATCTCTAATCTTTTAATCATCTACAGAATTCATCAAGAAAATGTCCACCTCACTCACATCAACAGACCAGGTCTATGAAATTCTTTTTGTAAATGATTTAACATAACACATGCAGTTTGGTGCCTAATAGATGCTTTTTAATGATGAACATTTCTATAATGCTTCTCAAAGATCCTAGTCTGATTTTTCTCACAGTAAAATAAATGAAGTCACTGGTGGAACTTAGTTATACTTTGCTACATTTTAATTAACCTTCAACAGCTATTAAAATGGAATGTAAGTTACATTTTGAAGGAAAGGAAATAAATGTTTTCCATTTTTCCTCTTGATTTATTTTCTGTATGACAGCAGCTGTGTTTTTGATAGGTTTATGGTTTGCATGAATTAATATTTAGAGTGGTCCAGGCCAATGCATGGTTATTGCTGTAAATCTTGATGTTTATTTCTGCCTTATAAAATTCTATCATGGCCTACCTGGAATTCAATATTCCACGGACAATTAATTGGTCCTCTATACAAGTTTTTCTTAATAAGTGAATTATCTTAAAAACAAATTTGAACACATTTTATTGAAACTTTTGTTTAGCTTACCTCTAAGAACTTTTCTTAATAAAGCTCACAAAACTTCTCAGCAAATAAATCTCCCTTAAGTAGGAAAAAAGTTAGATTTCATACTTGCTTACTTTGAATTAACAACAATTTTCCACAGATAAATCTGCTTTTGCAAAAGATGTGAGCAGAATGTAAAGAAAAATAAATGGTTTTATGTTTAGTGGGTCTAGAATAGAAGCCATAAATGCAGTAAATACTGTTTGTTGTTTGCTTAACTACTTCAAGCTTCATTTTTCACATTTTCAAATTTATTAGGTTAAGAAAAGCCTTGGAAGGCAGCTACTATGGAAAATTGCAGTTTGCATTAAAGATAATATAGTATTTTCAGCTCCATGAGAAACCATTCGTGCTGAAACTGCTGTAGAAGTTGTGAAGCTGCATATCAGTGGAGAGTATTGATTCTGTGATTTTAGTAGTTTTCTCAAGTTTGTTTATTTCAATGTTCAATGCACTGTATTTTATAAATAGTTATCACAGTTGGTAATATTCAGTTCTTTGCAGTGTTAAGTGTCATTGGCCTTTTGTGAATATGCATGTTTTAAACTGCAAATTTTAAATATTTTGTCCTCTAATTGTTACTCAAAATAAAATAAACTTTACCATTACGTAAAATAAATTGTTGGTTTTAGAAATTCTTGCTTTATTGAGCATTCAAAGCTATGCAGACTGAGAAAATATCCATTTAAGTGTTTTAGTTTTATTTATTTATTTATTTACAGCCCTAGTTGTAAACATCCAAACACATATTGTATACGAAAAAGTGCTTCATTTTAATCCGCCTAACTGAGACATGAAGTGGAGTTTGGTAACTCCAGTTTGGTAAGAGGGCTAGACTTAATAGTTAAATACCACCGAATTTTTAAATAAAATTACTATATTTCTATTCTTCAGTCAGAAGCCTCCAGGCATTGTACCCATGCCATTTAAATCAGCCTGCACATCAACTGCTAGCTCTAACCTTTCATGTTGGATGTATTTGTTATTTAAACCCATTACCTTTTTTCAGATTCATGAGACAGTGATCAAACTTAGTCAAATAATATTTGAAGGAACTAACCAAAAAATAATACAATTTGCCATATGAAACAAAAGTACAGGAAACATCAGAAATGCTAACAGCTCTATCAAAAGTGAGTATCATTGGGACAGAGGGAAAAAACTGAAGTTACAATTGAGTCAACTGCTAGAATAGTATTAGTTCCTAGAGGCGATAGGGTGGGCAATCTCAGGAGCTGGTTTTATTCCAGCAAAGCAGCATGTGTATGTAGCTGTCTGGTACCCTATGTCCCTTCCCCAAATTCTCAGACCAGGACTTGGTGCGGGTCCCCTGTGAAAATCTACAGCAAAACAACATACAATTATATCAAGTGATTTTCACATTCAGCTCCATTCCCCATGAAATAAACACTTTATAACTGACGGAATAGGTCAGGATACTTTCTAAAATGACCAAAAAGAAAGAACAAACTTGAAATATAGTCCCATAAATTCAATATATCATCCCCATTTAAAGTTTATTTTTCTATGTTTATGGCATTTCTAACCAAAAGTTTCCATTTCAGTAACACAGCACCTCTCATTTTCATGGAGAAAGAGCTCCCAAACCTGCATAATTTCACTAGTAAGTTAATAAAAACTGTTGGAGGATGTGGAATATTACCGTTCAGTTTTTATGTCGACTACACACAATGTAACTAGCAATTCAAGTAAGCACCCTGTCATAATATCATTTATAACTTAAAGTTTAACTTCAACTTAACATAGTCATGTACATGTAAAAATAGGGAGAAGTTTGTTCCCTTAATCATTTAATATGCCTGTAAATTCTTATTTTTCCTGAACACATACAAGTACACTTTTTATTAACTTTGCAAAGTTAAATCAATCTCAACCCAATGCAGTGTATCACATTACTATGATAGGATATATTTTCAGGAAAACATTTAGTTATTTTAGAGAGAAAATATCCTATGGATTTTATTCAGTCTGGCAAACTCACCATGAGAAGTAACTTAAAATAATAACAGTAAACAGGTAGGAAACATAAAAGGGAGCAATCTGCCCATTTAGATAATTAAAAATACATCTATTGACTTTGGAATGAATGACCATTTTAAAGTAAATTTACTGTATTAGTGTACTATTCAGAGCAGGTGATAAAATGATTTTATGGGCCAAGAGTATCCAACCAGGTTGGGGTCATGGGGTGGGGAGAAATGGGAAGTTGCCTGGGTATCCCAGCAGGCCTGCACATTAGAGAACTAGCTCTGTCAAACCCTGGGGCCATTTTCTTTTGAGTCCATTTCATCTATTTTCTCTTATTTATCCTTAGATGCGGCGGAGACTCCTCCCTACTAGAATGCATGTGATTTGAGACATGACTGGAACTTCTTGCTTCTCAAGACAAACCTAAGCAAAAAGGTACCATTAATATCTCCATATTGCAAATGAAAAACAGAGACATCTTATAAATTGTGAATTATAAACAGTCCAAAGCTACTCAACTTACAAGTGGCAGAGACAAAAAACTAACTCAAGCACTGTGCATCCAAAATCCATGCTAAATCATCTTCTGTTCTTGCCAGTTGCTCATGTGCAAAGGAAGAAAGGTTGACAGCAACTGCTTCTGTCCATGCTTTCTGTTAACTCTATGTTCTCATAGTGCCACTCAAATCACAATTTCCATCTATTTATAGGATATACATGAGGATAAGTAATCCCTTTTTTCCCCAATCGATTTTCTGAAAAGTAGGTTTGGATTTTTCCCTGGAAAAAATAGGCCTTCTAGTATGTATCATAAAGAGTGTAGACCTTCAAAGGCTACCAACTGGGTTCAGATCTTAGCTTTGCTCTTTATTGCCTGGCTTTGAGCACAGTGTTCATTTCTCTGATTTTTTTCAGCATCAAAACAGACTTGATAATCACCTCTACATAAGGGTTGTAAAGATTAAATGATACAATTCAGGTAGCACTGGGCACCTGTAGTACTTAATGAATGTTACCCATATCTTGTCTAATTACCTCTCAATGGGTAGCACTTCTAATCTTCAAAACCATCCTAGTATGAAGACATTAGGACTCACATTCTTTATGATAAAGCATTAATTAGAAAAGCTTCTACTGTATCTTGGTGTTGTGGTAGTTTATGGAGAGCATCTTCTTGGAAATTTCAAGTAATTTGGTCCTTGAGGTCTACTGTCTCTAAAATGAAGGTGTGTCAAGTCACTCTTCCTTATAAAATCCTTCAAGGCTCACCCTTTGCATTTGGGGTATAGGAAACTACTATGGTGTTCAAGATCTCTGATCTGACTCTGCTCACAGTCCCACTTTTGCTTTCTCTAGCCACGTCATCCAGTTTCCTTATTTTTCACACTCATGAATACCTTCTGAAATGTTATGAATTCTTTAGTATGGCTAGTATGCTTCCCCTTCACTTCTAGTTCTCCTGTCTCCCTCCTTCCACACAGTCTTCTTCCCTCAGAACCCATTCAGCCCCCAAGTTTCCAGCCCTTCAAGGGATTCATCTGAACCCCTCCAGGACCAGGTAGGTTCTCTTCCCAGGAAATTCCAGAGCACTCTGCATTTCCCCATCATTGCGGTTATGTAACATAATGAAGGCACAGGTCAATTTATGTTAATCTTCCTCTATGTGCCTGTGAGCTTCTATACCAGGAAAAATAATGTGTCACCTTTATAACCTATAACATCACATGTTGTGCAGTCATGTCTGAGTCCATGCAGAGTGTCCTTGAGTCAGAACAGCACTTAAAGTTGTCTTGATATTCCCAGCCCTTCACCTGACCCATAAGTGGTATCTAGCAAATGCTTACTGAATGAGATAATCCTTGCCAACCTGCCACAGAATGGTATTTTACCCTGAAATTGTGATGAAGGTGGTTATCAGTTTCATAGCTTCCACAGAGAAGTTCAAATACATGTACTAAATGACAACAAGTACTTGGGGATGCAATTTGATTCGGTGTCACTGACAGACATATTAGAGTGAGGTACACAATGACTCCCAAATTTTCAACAGTCATGGCCAGTTAACTTGATTGATTGGAGCATTCCATTAAGGAAAGGAAGGTTGCAGATGTCAGCTTTCTGAATTTCTTAGCCTTATTCTGCCTGATGGATATAAACTATTCCCCCAAAGGAATGACACAATAGAAGTAGTCACAGAGATACCTGACAAACTTAAATGGTTCTCACTGGAAGCAGTTCACCCCTGGTGGATGTGGTTTGGTGTGGGGGCATGTTTGTCATCAGAATGTTTAGATTTAGGATCTAGTATACTGTGTACACTGATGCTAGAACTCGGTTATCACAGAGATCCCACATGCATGGGACAGCCTATACAACAAAGGCTTGTTATCCATCAGCATGGCTTTGGAATGTCCCACCATTCCTTCTGTGGAAAAGTCTCATCTTACGTTACCTATAAAGTATTTTTGCACTGCCTTCATATACAGTGAAATTTCCAGATCTATAACTATGATGCATGTCAAAGAAAGATCAAGCTTTGTTTTGTTTGGGAAAACCACATTAACAGCAATGATAAAACTGTGGTGCTTAAGTTGCCTGCCCAGCAAACTTGCATTGCCTGGATTTAGAGTAGTCATCTCCTGGTAGTCCTACGTAAGAGGTTCATGTCTGAGCCCTTTGTTTTATCAGCACAAGCCCTAATAATTTAAAACAAATTTATCTTCTCTTCTTCACTTCTTTATATTTAGCACTGTGGTATTATGTTGAATGTTTGAAATCCTAAGTGTAGAGAAATTTCCTCTTCAGTGGTTTCTCTGCACAGATGCATCAGAACCTCAAAGCAGGAGTTTCCTTGCTGTTTGCATCTGGTTCTGCAGATAGCTCCAGGACTGACTAGCTGTAGGCAAGTCACTCTGCTTCTGTATTCCTCAGTTTACAAATCTGTAATATAGGAATTATAGTCCCTCCTGTTGCAGTTGCTTAGGGAAATAAAATGAATTAGTGCATGTAAATGTGTAGAATAGTGTTTGGCTCATAATAAGACCTCAATAAAGATAAATTTTAAAACATCAAAGGAGAGGATGTCACTAGCAATGTGAATAAAACTAGTGTAATGACCGAAGTGTGTTCCAGAACATACTCATAAAAATTTTCATCTTTTATCGTCCTTCCCTTTCTTCCCATCCCCCATTTTCTCTTTCCTTTCTTCTACTACTTTGGGCTACCTGTATATCATGTCACTTTTAGACATAGGAGAAAGGAAGAGACCAGAAGTCAGAAGTTCTTTTGCCATCAGACAAAACAAAGGCACAATTTCTTCTAACTTGTTTCCTCAACTAGAAAACCAAGAAGCAAGACTCAGAAGTTTACCTCTAACTGCATTTGCAAAGAGTTGTTGATGATAACTTACAATAATGTGAATTCATAAAAACCTGGGTTCCCAAACAGCATGTGGCAAGTCAGCTAAGTGGCAAGACTAAGATGGGTCAGAGGAAATGACCAGGCAGAAGGCTGCCTGACCTCAGGGTAGTCTTGATGACACATCTCTGTGACATGGCAGCCAAAATTCAGTTTCTTATGAGACATGTCCTAATGGTTAGAGCTAAGCAAGCCAAATGACATATCTGAGATCTAGATGCACCCCTAAGCTGATAAGACTACAGAAATTCACTTCCTTTGCTGTTTTCATGAGCCCAGATACAGAAAATAGTTTTTTAATATAATTCAACGTGGAATCTTTTTTTTCCCCAAAATATGATGTGTTACATACAGACACTTCCTTTTCCTAAACAGCAAAGAGTATCATTAAGAGGAAAAGGGGAAAGTGATACTCCTAAAATGGAGAGCTTTGATCTAAATTTCAAATAGATTTTGCAAAAACATATTTTATTTATTCTAACCCAGCAGGATCTATGTCCAATTATGCAATTAACAGATATAGATTTCAGCAACACTTAAAATATGTAAGATTAGATGAGTATAGCCCATAGTTTGACTTTGAACTCCACAGAAACCATAAATAGAAAAGTGACAGTGTGACTACTATTAAGTAATTAGTATCGTCTATGTAGTAAACAGATTAAATTACAAGTCTTTACATTTGTACATAACTCATTTTACAAATAGGCATTTAAGACCCAACTGTTCAACTTTCATTTAACCACTAAATGGTGCTGAACAAAAAGTCTACAATAAATATTTCCTAGAGAAGGTAGGAGAAATATATAGAAGACCTGTGTGACAATGAATATCTGAGTGCGTATTTAAGACTTTAAATTCCTCATGTGGTTATTGAAGTCTTGTATTCTGAAAAGGTTCTTATATTTTAAACAAAATTTATTAATTTAAAAAATAACAGTTCTCATGATACTAATATTATACATGGGTAGGTTATTCCCAAAATCATAAATAAGTTGTCCTCTTAGCTTACTTAGTAGTTAAGTTTTTAAGTGAACCTTTTCTGATTGCCATCAGATATTTTTCTTTGCTTACTTATGTATATACTTGTAATATAATTCGCTAAACAACTTATAACGAAAAAAGAACAGGTAGCCCTTTTCTAAGGTATGATGGAGTTGTCCAATGAATACCTTCAGTCGATCTGCAATTTTAAAGTCAAACTGCTGCATATTTTGAATAAAAGCAGCATAAATTGAAATGTGATGGCCATCATATCCTCAAGCCAGAACGAAATTATACAACATGGCCATTCTGTGATCAGAGGTATTGATCAGACAGTATTATAACTGTAAAGTTCTGTATATTCCCATAACTTTCCTCCATGTCACTAGATTCAAGGGAAATTTCCTTAGAAATACTTGAGACAATGGCAGCAGAGCTCCACCCATCTGCCATTATACTACATGGATCATTGCTGTGGCCTGTCAACTGGAACTGAAGTCTGGACAGCTCTTCCCAGGTAGTGGGGGTTCCTGCTGGAGAGGGTAAGCAAAATACTGGGGTGATACCAGGAAACCCGATGGCTGGGTCAGATGGATTGGGTGGCCAGTGGTGTAAGGCGGGGGTGGCGAGGGCACCAGGCAGCCTGGCTCTGCCCTGGCAAAGGAGAACCTGCGGATGGAGCCCCCAGTGGAGCTGGAGCTGGTGGCCGTGCTGGACTGCCTGGAAGGTGCCCTGAGGTTCGTGGAGGTCAAGATCATGGGCAGGGTCTCTGTCTGATAACTTCGGAGTGAGAAGCGGATTGGCTGCTGTGAGGGCTCCTTGGGTCTTAAGCAGGTGCAGCAATAAATAGCCACTAAAGAGCCCAGGATGATGAACGCGATGAATATGGAGCCGACGATCAGGAAAGGAACGTAGACAGGCTCTAAAAGGCAAAAATAGACACACACTAGGACTGGGTCTCCAAACTCCAGGTTGCTTGGGGGGGGGGGGGGAGGAGGGTGGGAAACTCAGTATTGTCACTGATTGTTGTCAGCCCAGCTCCTCAGAGCTTGTCACTTGGTAACCCCCAAAATACAAACTGTGATGCCACAATAGTCTTGTTCTTAGTAGGAGGAAGCAAACTGATACTGTAATCTCTGTTAGCAATTAGCCATCATATTGCACATCTGGAAGTCAGAAACCTCCTGTTCATGTACTGCAGCAAGAGAAAATGAATTGTTTTGTGTTTTTGCTGTTACTATAACTCTGGGTTTAAATCAAGGGTCTAGTTTCTTTATCACAGTAGGGTGCTTAGACCTTTGACTCATCTCTCACACTGAAAAGCCACCTCCCTTCCAAGACTCTCCAGTCCAAGTGAAAGGATAGGCTTATTAATTGGGCCTCCAGAAATGTATGAAAAGTCCCAAATGAACAATGTAAAGAAATCCATAGTGGCCCTGTGTTTCGTATTGCATCACAAATTGTCAGCTCTAGCAGTTTCTTTCCAGAAACAATGTGGGATGCCTGCTCCAGCAGCCATGCCTCTGCCTGGTCATAGCCATCCAGACCCTGGGAAGGTCGTGGAACTTCAGATAGGTCAGTGATGCTGTTCTTGCTGTTGGTGGCCCAGACTTTCTGTGAGAGCTGCTCTTAGGCAGAGCAAACTGCCATTAGATGCAACCTCCAGATGGAAGCAGAAGATAGAAAAGCCAGACCATTAAGCACCTACCTACTGCTAGCTCTTTTTAATTCATTACATGGTTTAAATATTAGACCCTGTGAGGTGGACGTGGAAAGCCCATTTTCAGGTGTGGAACATACTGTTTTTGGCTTCCCCAAAGACACATAGGTACTGAGTGACAGAAAATCTGTGGTCTTCAGTATATCCCCATTCTCTTATTTTTAGCAGTATCCTGTAGAAGGTGAGATCAAAACCACTAACTACCAAGTATTCACAAACTCACACTAAATCCACAACCTTCCCTAACTGAGAGCAATATGCCCATGTTGGAATTCAGAAGAGGCCCAGAAAAGTTGCAAGTAACCTGCCCAAGCTTACACAGCTAGCAAGAGACAGGCCAGCAGCCGCTGCTGGCATTTGCAGACCCCAGCCTCAGTAGACACTGTCCATCTCTTGCTGTCCTGGGACAGCAGAGCCAAGCCAGGAAGTGTAGGATGGAGAGCCTACTGCAATCTGGGCACTTTTACTTGGAGAGGAATTCCACCCCCATGCTGAGTGGAGAAAAGCAATGGGGAGAGTGTATTTTCTAACAGCCCAGACATGTCCAGAGCTCCCTATTGCCACTAAATATCTTCTCCACACACCACTTCTAAACTGGGATTTTGGACCCTCGAAGTTAACATTCCTTGAGAATCTCCGGAGTTCAAAGCCAGAACAGGTTCCCCTTTCCAGGGAGGTCAGAGGGTTTCTGGGGGAAGGGGGGACGTTCACACCATCTCTCCAGCCTCTCCTGGCCTTTCCCTAAGGACTTACTTTGCTAGCTTCAGACTGCCACTCTGGAGTTCTGGGTGCCCTTGGCCCTGAGCTCCTCTCTAGTCTGCTTTCCCGGTTGCCTGGAGCTCTAAAGGGTTTCCCTGATGTTTATATTCAGGTGGAAAGCTTTTTTTGTTTTGTTTTGTTTTAAGGTGTAAAGTTCCTCTGCTGGGGTCGTGATTTATTCTGCTATGAAGTGAGCGGAAATTTGACCCATGTTTTCCGATGTGAGAATAGGGGGCGGAGAAGCCCCTGCGACCCTGGTTTCTAAACCTCCACCTCGAAGACCTGGACATTTCTGAAAGGCGTGACAATAGGGGGCTGGCCATAGAGGGTAATTCGATGCAGAGAAATGAAAGGAAGTCTAGAGAATGGGGCAGCTGTTTAGAAATGCGACCAAAGGACCTCAAGGGGGCTGGGGAGGAAGGGAGGGAGCTGAGTGGTTTCTTAGCCCCGCAGGGCTACAGACAAGCGCTCCCCAAAAGTTGCATTCCCCCAACCACCAATACTTCCAGAAGCTCCTAGGGACCCGGGGCCTCCAACGAGGCACCTCACCACCCCCTGAAAACGCAGGTCAACCCATTAGCTGGCTCCGCAGTCCTTCCCCTGTACCTCCCAAGTCCCCGGAAACTTCAGAGTCAGAGACAGTCCCTTGTCCGCGCTGTCCCTTAAAACTTTCCCTTGGGAGACCCTCGGAGACCGCGTGTGGCGGGAATCGGAACTGCAAAGGAATTGGGCCCCTTGACCTAAACGCGACCACCCACCTCTCCCTTCTCCCTCGATTCCCCCCCCAACCCCCCCACCCCAACCCCGCCCGCAGCGTCCACTAGAAGCAAACCCTGGGAGGCCCGGTGTGACCGCCCAGAGCACGCCGCCTGCGGGGCACACACCCGCTGCGGGCTGCGAGGCTAGGGTCTGCCCCTGAGGGCCCGCACTTACGCGCGGTGATGCCCGGGTGCTCCAGTTCGCCGCGGTCATTGGTGCAGCCGCCCTGCTCCAGCCTGGCGTCCGCCGCGGCGCAGCAGTAGCGCAGCGCACAGGAGCCACAGCAGATGGTGGCGTCCAGCGTGTCGAAGTCCTCCGGGCACTGGAAGCCCTCGTGGTAGTTGCCCTGCACGTCCACCCAGCCGTGGCAGTACTCTCCCGACTGCTGGGCGCCCGCCGGGCTCCAGCGCAGCCAGCCCAGGAGAAGGCAGAGAGCCAGCAGCGACCCCATCGCCCCCGGCAACCTAGGCGGCGGGGACCCCGACGCCTCTGGAGAGAGAAGGACTGAGACGGGCTCCGGGCGCCCCGCGGTTCCGCCTCCCCGGGGCGCGGCGTGTGCGGCTGGCCCTGGCAGTCTAGGGCACTCCTGCGTGGGTTAGCAGACGCGGAGCAGGCGGCAGGGGCTGCACTGCGCGCTTCGCAGGCCAGGGGTCGGCATCGTGAGCCGCGACGTTGGGGCGAGGGCCCGCGGGAGGCGCCGGCACAGGCTGCTGCTGGGGCTGCCGCCCTGCGCCCGACTCACGCGGCTCCCAGCCCGAGCGGCGCGCGGAACCCCCGACCACCTCCCTCCGCGCCTCTCACTGGAGCCATCGCGCGCGGGGCTGGCAACTCCAGGGCTGCACGGCGCCCCGGCGTGTGCCCGACGGCGGGTTCCAAGCGGAGCGGGTAGGAAGAAAACTTCGTCCCGCACGTGCGTATCCCGGAGACCAGCTGTCCCTCAGTCCCCGCCCCTTGTGTGTCACGGGAGCAGGAGTCAGGCGAGCTGCGGCCAGGTACAAACGGCCTGTGGTTGCTGACAGCTCGGTCTGCCAGCTTGCAAGGCGTCCTTTAAAAGGGAAGAGGGAGGGGGAGACAGCGAGGGTTGAGAAAGAGTCCGCCCTCCCGGGTCGCGCTGCTGGTGCTAATCACAGCAGGCGCCGCGCGGCCCGCGGGTCCGCCGCGCTCGGGTTCGCGCCCAGTCCCCCGCCTTCCCTAGGCCCACCCACCCACCCACCCACTGAGTTCCCCGGGACTTCACTCTACACCTGAGGGGATCGGGCCCTCTACTACACACACCACAACTCTGGCACAGCCAAGAAGACTCCCCAGGGTGAAGGAGGGGGCTACCAGCTTTCTGCGTCTGTCCGTGCGCGTCGGCACGCGAGTGGAGGCGGGTTTTACTTTTTATGGATGTAATAAAATAAAAACAGTGCGGTGACTGGTTTGTCGAATCTATGTCGCCTGCTACACAGATCCAGAGTCGCACTTGGCACATGGGTTCAAAGGGTTCAGGACGGACACCGTGATTCTTTTAGGGGTTGCCAACATTTGCACTGAGTTTTACAAAAACCCATATCACTTTTCTTGGAGGGGCGTCACATTGCCCCACGTACACTTACACTGACACTTTTCCTCACCCCCTTGAGGGTAGCCCAGTGAAGAATCGCCTCCAGCCAACGGCCGCAGCTCACAAAACCTCAAAGAGCACGATTTCTTCCTTCTCGCCCGCAAAGGAAATAAAAGAACAAAATTAATGATAATTGTGCAGATCTGAACTTCTGTTCGGGCAAAGAAACACATTTATTTAAATGATGTGTCCCCTGTGTGCTATTTCCAGGGGTCCTGCTCCTTTAGCGGCGTGAGTGCCTTATGAAACTGCTGTTATGTGAAACCTGGGCCAAACTCAAGAATTTATTTTTACTGCATCCTGAACTTCCTCTCATCGTTTATCGGCATGTGTGAATATGTTCCGCGTATCTCAACCTATTTTTCAAACACGCTGAATGCCCATGTCAGTGATTTAGATGTTGGCAAGTTAAGTGAAACAAAAAGGGACAAAGTTTGCTGTGCACCCAACAATAAAAGTGCTCGGTCAAAAGCATTTGCTACGCCCAAAGCTTCCCGATGGTCCGAGTCGGCTCAGAAGAACATTTTTTAACTGAATAAAAAACGGTATCTTTTTAAAACTCTAAGTTGAAGTATACGTCAAATAAAGAATCCTTTCTGATTTTAAATACTGGGGTTAGCATTTAGTTATAAGAATGTAGAAATAACATACAATTTAGATGTTAAGTAGGATTGTGTAAATATTTAACTTCATTGAGCTCTTAGAAGTAGATCTTCGTTGGGACAATAAGAAACAATTAAGTAAAAATCAAATTAAGTGCAGGCTTTTCTCCACAAACAATGGGACAGTTTTTCTGGGCTTAGTTAATGAACTTAATATATGGGAAAATATTTTTGCAGAAATTTCTTAGATATTGTGTTTTTATTTACCAAAAAAAAAATCCTTGTCATATGTAGAGTGTTTTTGTGTTGTTTTCGACAGTTCTGTTTGGGGTATATATCTGAGCAAAAGGGGGGGGTCATTTAGAACCACAACATAAGTGAGATAAATGATCATAATAAGATCAAACTATAAACACATGATTGCTGCTAATAACTTTCCCAGAACCACACCTTTTCATACTATTTTTGTTAAAATTTAGAGGAATTCCATTACATCACAACTGCATAAAATACTGTGGCAGCAGCAGCAACCTTTGCTAGTCCCCAAGGGTCAAGTTTCTCTCATTATCCAGCTGTTCTTTGATAGCATTAATATTTTAAGGAGTGATTTGTTGGCACTTACCTCCCATTAATTACATTCTCCATGCCACAGAGGGGCTCTTTTCTTTAGGACACCAACTATAAGTAATTCCCTTATTCAAAGCCCCTATCTATTTGACTCATTTAAAGAACATTTGACTCAGTTGAATCATATTTACTAATGAAAAGAATCAAGCCTCCAAATTGCTTGATACTCCATAGAGCTGATGTATGTGAACACTGAAAAAATTATGCACTCTGCTTTCCCACTAGGTCCTGCTTCAAAGTGTTTTAAACCATTACAATGACCAGCTCAGAGTTGGGGTGTCGATATGCCAGACTTCTTAGATCTTATAGAACTTACAGTGATCAATTTCAGCTGCAAAAATGATGTTCTCAGAGTGCTCTTTGCCAACAATAAGATAATACATAATTCTTTTTAGGTTTATAAACCTAAAAAAAAAAAGATTTTGTTCTTCTGTTACTATTTTAATAGCAAAGGGAGATTCAAAAGTTTTCATAAACTCCTTCTTAAAGACTCTAGGGTAGAAGACCTGGAGATAGAAAATAAAGTCTCCACGATCTGAAATATTATGTAGAGGCTTCCAAATTCTGTATATTTTTCTTATCTAAGTAACACAAACTCCATATTCTGGTGTAGAACACAATCATAGGAGACCATTTCCTCAGCCGCCATCCTCTCGTGGCTCTGTCTCCAGGAAATTCTATGGGAAATGAGTTAAATGATATGATGTCTGGGATTTGCTTTAATAAATGCCAGAGAGTATGAGAGGAAAGGAGGGAGAGAAAAGGAAGGAGGAAAGACAGGAGGAAGATAAGGTGTAGGGAGAAGGGGACAAAGTAAAGGTAGAGAGCAATTGAGAAGTGAGGATGGGACAGATGAAAACTGGAACACTATTGACAGCACATTGATAATTATAGCTGGTTGAAAGGTACTTGTAAAATCAAAATGCGACGCTATTATGCATGAATAAAATTGCATGGTATGAACATTTTTCATCAAAAAGCATCTACCGCAGTATGAAACAGCACTGTGTCATTTTTTTTTTACACTGTTCATTTCTCTGTGTTATATTCTTTTGGACAGAGTGAAGGAATTGAGAAAAGCAAATGAAGAAATGAGAAGGCAAATAGAGCAGAATGAAGGCACCTGAAAGTGTTGAGAACTAAAATGTACTAAGGGAAAGAGAAAAGGTGAAAGAAATGCCAAAGTGAAAGAGTAATTAATTAATTAACTTTAACTTTGGTTATGGAAATTTTCTCCAGCTCATTTGCATCGGACCCAGTAATAAAATAGAAAACAAAGTTTCTCGGCCCTTCTCAAGCTCCTGGAGTCATTTGTTATCACGGCCCTTCCCTTGCTTTGTCCATGACTAAATGGAATTCTTTCTCAGATCACTTACTATAAATCTCTTAATTCCAGGATCCTGTCAATATGAGTTACTTGAAGGTTTTTGGTTTCTTTCTTTTCCTCAAAGTTGCTTTGACATACACAGTCCCCCCTAGAGAATAGCAAGGTGCCCAGAAGTAAACCCCAGATCCTGAGACCCCAAACTGGCCTCTTTTTTCTGCCCTGTGTTTACCTTCTAGAAGTGCTTCTCAAACCACACTATTTGTAAGAATCATCTGGAGACCTTGCCAAGATGCAGATTTCCAAAGTCTTGGGGGTTGGGGGGAAAGGGTGGGCTGGGATTCTGTATTCCTGTATTTCCAACCAGTTCCCACGTGATACATGCCCAAGGCTGCTGGTCTGAGGACTATTCTCTGTGGCCCTCTGGGTGCCTTCTGCTCTTGTCCCCACCCACAGGAGAAGAAATGAAAAGAGCCAGAGTCTTAGCCTTCTGAATCTGTCTCTGGGCCCTAAGCCCCCAGTATGCCTCACACAAATCAAAGCTTGCTCCTAGAACTTACTGATTCTAAGAAATTTTAGGATGAGGTGGATAAAAATCTGTACACACAGGCTAGGGTGTCCACACTCATACTTGAGGGGCCCCTCAGGGCAGATATCAGAAGTGGAAAGGAAAGGGCAGGCCCCACGCCGCTGGTGGCCTATCTATTCCTGCCCAACAAGAATATGTTAGATCTGGTGTGTTGCTTGCACATTTTGGGGACTCAGTAAATAGTGATTAAATGGCAAAATGAATTTTTCCCTTCATAATTCCACAGCTTTGCTTTCTCACATTGTAAGTTTGTGAGAGGCATGCATAATGGACATCTTTCCCATTAGTTTTGCCTCCTTTTCCATTATTGTTTACTGGGATTTAGCAGAGTGCCTGCAATGTAGTGAGTGCTCAGTAAATGTGGAGGAAATGATTGACTGTAAGCAATGACTGGAATTTGCAATGACCTTTGTTGAGAATTTGCAACAAACTAGTGACATCCCTCTCAGAGCTGCAACAAGTGTCTGGGAGATGCTCCAGTAAAAAGCAGAGTGAATTTCCAGCATGAGGGTGGGAATGGAACATTGTTGCTTCAACTCCTAGTGACTTAATTGTACATGTAGCTCACCCAGAATGTTTACCCAAGGGTCTCAGCAGAGCAGCCCATCCCCCACAGAGAGTGAGGACACTTATCCATGAGAATATGACTATGATACAGTAAAATACTCTGGTTTTGAGTGAGACAAGAGTGCGTCTTTCTGATCACGTGATCTTGACCAGGTCATTTCCATTTATGCAACTTCAGCTTCCATGTC